CGTAGGAGTCAAAATGGTTTTAAAAAATATTTGCAAAGTAATTATGTGAATACTTTTATTTATTAAAAGCATCCCTCTTTATGGATTGTAAAAAGAAGAAAAAGACATATAATATTAATTATTTGAAATTCAATTTCTAGTAAGAAATTACCAATAACACGCCTGATGTACCAAACTTTCCTTTATGACTTTCTTAGACAGCACACAGAGAGAAGTTGTGACAAGTGCCAATGTTTGTAAGCACTATTAAAAGGCATTAAAACACTTGCTACTTGATTATTGTTGATTTGCCATTGGGAAGAAGTTTGATTTTTTTTCCTCCATTGCCAAGGTATCTTGGGCTACCTCTAAACTGTACAAACTATACTTCTCTTGACAGATAACACATTTTTGCCTGATGCAGAGAACTCCACAATCCACAGAAAACAATATACAGAGTGCAAATTTGTGCTTTATACAGAAGAGAGGTTTTCCTTTCTTTACATCTCCACAATAACAACTCTGTGAGACAAGGTGAAGTAAGAGAATGGGATTGATTCAAAGTCACCCATGAGTTTCTATATCTGGGTCTCTGTAGTTTAATACCTTAGCTACCAATCAATTTTGACTCCATATCAAAGGTATAATGAACAGAAATATAACTAGAGGGTCTAGGTGTGTCTCCAGAGTGAAACAACCCACTTCACAAGGATGTTATTTTAACATACAAAATCAGCCAACGAAGGATGGCTGTTTTGCAAAGTTTTTCTTCCCATCATGCAGTGTCAGAAGAGCATCATCTCTGACCACACTAACAATTAGTCATTAAAGGAGAGAGAATGCAGCTCTTCAGTAATTTACTTCAAAAGCAGTATACCACTGCATTCTATGAAGTATACAACAACAACAAAACAGTATCAAGAATAAACTATAATGAAGTACAGTAAAAGTCTAGGTTGACCCACCAGTATAATATAGGCACTAAAGGTTACTTAAAATGAATAGAATGTTAAATGCCAGAAGCGAGTGGACTAGGCATATCTCTGGGGATAGAATTTTGAAAGATGTGGGGATACCACAGAGAAGTCCTTCCTCTTAACATCACTCCACAATTGTATTTTGGCAAGACTATCTAATTGTCCTTAAGAGACCAGGGAGACTCACTAGGGATTACTGCTAAGTGCATTCACCTGACAAACTACATTAAAAAAATACACATGGGAAGATCTGTAGATGGTAAATAGTTGAGGATAAGTCACTATTGAGATTGAAGTGACATGAACATCTAGAAATCTTATGTCCCACTTGATAGCAGAAGAGTCTGAATCAACCATTTCTCTTTCTTTTTCAATACTAGTAGCAAAAAACTATTTTAAATTCTTAATTCTGAATTGAAAAGACAATTAACAGTAACAATGGGCTGGCACAAAAACGAAGCTTTGGGGGAAGGCAAGTCTCTGGATATTTTCCTCAGCCACTACTTTCTTTATCTCCCATCACATTTTGTATATAACAGATAATCATAGTTGGAAGGGACTTTAGAGATCATCTAGTGGAACTGTGAAGATCTTCTGCTTACCAGCCCACCACCACTGCATGTAATATGTGGGAGCTAATGATCTCTCCTTTTACAAAATGGCTGAGTCTCTCCTGGCCCTATTTACCAGCCCAACCAAAAAGAAAAGAAACAAGTCAAAAAGATTAACCTGCATTGGCTGCTATATAAGAGAAATCTACACGTGAAAGGACAAAGATGGATTGAATTATCACATCCTGTTGCTGAACCAGGAAAGTGGACTAACAAAGGCAGGCATTAGCTATAGACTGTCTTCAAATGTATCTTCATCCCTGCCTTAGAAAAGCATGGGTGATAATGTCTCTAGAAAATAGTAAAGGGATTACAATATAATGTAAGGTCTATGGAGGAAAGGTTCTCAGAAGGGGAGTTACACAGTCGTCTGGGTCAATTTTGTCCCAAAGGTGCTTTTTAAAAAAAAGACAATTGGACTTCCTGATTTTTCGTTAAGTTATTTCACTTCTCATTGTTGGAAGTTATAACCCACCCCTCTCCTAGAAAAATGAAATATTTTAGGATATACTAAAAGGGCAGAATATTTCCCCTAAAAGAGAAGTAGAAACTCAGAGAGGCAGAAACTCAGCCCCTACATCTTTGCTAATGGGCCATTAAGGTCTGGGCCAGTCTACTCTACATAACAAAGGCCTACCTCTTTCAGGTAGACCCATAATAAGAATCCCAAAGCCCTTTCATTACATCATCATCCAGCAAGGCTCAACCGAGCCTGGGACTCAGGACAGCCTACAGAGTTGGCCCTGCATGGCCCCATGGGAGTCTGACAACCAATCAGAAAACAATCTCAAATTCAAATCCCAACAGAGGGCATAAAACCCAGGGACTCTCAGCATTTCTGCTCTTTTTCACTCAGGAGCTCCAAGACATGTGATCCTGTCCACCATTAAACCATCTTTCCAAACAGCCTCCATGTTTCCAATTGCTTTTTCCCCACTTGGAACTGAACCCAGAAGGATATTTCTTCCAACATCATCCAACAAGTTTCTTCAGTTCTAACTAACTGGTGGGAAGTCCTTTAAAAAAGTACCTTTGTGACAATACAATTTAGAAGGAGAAAAACCTCCTAAAACTATTCCTGCTATTAACTGGAGATGTTCACCTCTTATGATGGTCAAGCCTTGGGTGTATCTTTCTCTGCTCCAGGTCTGTGAAACTCTCTTTCCAGTATAATGCAGAGATTGCTACATGCATTGTATGTAAAAAGGCTTTAAACCCACATATGTCCTAACGGCCTATGAAAATTATCTGGCTGTTTTAAAAAACATTGATCTTTTCTCACAAATTGATCATTTAATTTCAAAATAAGCTTTTACAAACTGTGTATGTCTCCTATGTTTTAAAGTAGCTATTAGATTCTTAGCATGTTGCATATCACCTGCCTAAATGACAGTTATCTTACAAACAAATATAAGTAGACAAGTAAGCTTCATATAGAAGAATGTCAGAACCACTCTTCTACTTTTGTTTCCATATTTTAAAAAGTGGGTGAATTGGAGGGTATCTGGCTGCCAAATATAAAAATAATTGTGCAGAATGCAAAAGGACCATTGAAGCTGGTAACTTCTTTGGCCTCAGAATTTTTAATAAATAGATACATGACTACCACCCAATAATCTTTTAAATCAACCTCTGTCTTTTCCAGAACAAATTTAAACCAGAGTCAATTGCTGGATAAAAAATGCTATATCTCTAAAATTTGAATCGTACTGAATATTTCTATAAAATACCTATATAATATATTTATATAAAAATATTTGTTACTTCAGTTTTTTTTTATAATGAAAGCATGAGATGAAATCCCACAGCAAGAACAAGGCCAGTACAGTACAGTAACTCATTCTAGTGGGGTTTCACTTCTGGTTTTGGTTATATGCCTTGTTCAACTTTATCTGTTCTTGGTACACTGATAATATACTGGCAGTCTCTGGGTTAGGAATGAGTTTTGTATTTAAGTTTATACATATATGTACAAAAGGACTGACTAATTACTAAAAATGGCGGAAGGAATTGTCCTTCTTCAAGCCAGCAAAGGGCTGAAGCTACAAATGCTTTCAGGAGCTATTGAAAACCGTCTATATATTAAAAGCACATTGCTTCAGCAGTTCCTGAAAGCACCATGCAGCTTCAGTAGCTGATCAGGTCAAGGAAGGACAATCCATCCACCATTTTTAGTAGCAGGCAGCCTGTTTGTATGTTCGTATTTAGGGGTTGTCCTTAAATCAAACATTCATTTTCCTGGGGACTGCCTATGATAGCAACAAGTCTATTTTGACAGACAAATACTAACTCTTATTATGTCCTTGTAAGAACATTCAAATATGACAATAAAGGTTTTCTAAGTTTTTAGAACTTTTGTTACACTTATTTTCTTTTCCCAAAGTAATAGTTTCCTTGTTAGAGAACTAAGAGATCATTTTGGCCTTATTCTAAGCAAAGGGGAAGCATGATCTATGTTTTCTCTTTTGCCCACAATATATTCATTTATAATTTCCCCCCATTCTCAAAGTCCAGGGAAACCTACTGCGTGACAGAAGGTCACCACACTTTGATGACATCTGCTACAGATGGTGTGATCACTAATATTGCTCAAGAAGCTTTCATTTTCTTAATCTGGGGCCTTCCAGATCTGTTCAAATGGCAACTCCCAGATAGCTTGACATAAAATCTAGAATGCTGATATAACTTAATCCCAATACTTCTGAGGAACTACCAGATGAGGGAAGATTACAATTGATATTTTTAAAAGGGAAATATTAGATTTCAAATAGAAGTCCTGTGTTTCTTGTGAGCTTTTACTTTTTTCTATCTGGTATGTTGACTCCAGGAAATGCTCACTAAAACAAATCACCAAGGGTGCAAACTCATTCTATGAACAAATGATGCAGAACATCATTTCATGCATTGTATGAATGTATGTTCCATGTATCTTGGTGAGAAGACTGGATTGGTGAAAAATCAATAAAGAGCACGTGGCATTGGTTGGGGCTGTTCTGTGATGGTCCCTTGCAAGGCTATTGGTTTTAACTCACAACATGATGAATTAAAACCATGACAGATTTCATTGTCTCCCTTTCACTTGCTGAAAACAGCTGAGCTTTTCTTACTATGGCAAGTTTTAGTCCTGAAACGAAGTGCAAGTGCATCACAACTTTCTAGAAAACATTAAGAATTGGCCAAAGGCTGAAAAACAGAGGTTTTGGGCCGAAATCCCTTTCCACGGTGTTATCTTGCCATGGACACAACTTTGCAGAAAAGGGAACTGGTGAATTTTCATTCACATATTAAAAGGACTGATGAATCAAACTATTTGCAGCTTAGAAAGCAACCAGTTTTTCTAAAGACAGCATAAAAGTCATTGCATATTTTTGCAGGAGAATTTGACATTTTTTTTCTAAAAAGGACAGACACAACACTGAATGCTGGAAAGTACCTGCTTCACCCCGGAGGGCTTTTTCCACTGCAACTCCCCTCTCCTCCAGCTGCCTTTGCTTCTCTTCAACCTGCTCTAGTTGTCTTTGGATGATCTATGGAAGGAGAACAATGGTCCAAATGACTATGCACTTTGCATATATGAGATTTTCTCCTTCTAGTATTGCAAAGAAAGACATACTCATTAGCAGTCCACTTCTACACACCCTACCCAGTTGATTCTGTAGGGCCACTGCAACGTAGTCAAGTGCATATCTATGGCTAGTAACTGTTAGGAATACCTCTCCCTCCCTAGCTTTTACCACAGTGACACTTGGAGATGCAGCCACAGAACAATATTCACAGCTGGAAAGAAAAGCTTTGCTATATACAATGATGCAGTAATTTATTATTTCCCTTCTTGGACCTCAGATTTTGTAAGACTTTTACAGTAGCACCCCTAATATACTATACTGCCCAACATTAAAGTGAGCAGAGAGAAACAAAACTTCAAGTTGTACTTGAATGACTACTATCTTCTTTAAGGAATTCATAAAACAGGTATACTTTTTTAAGGATTTCATAAATCTGAAATATGTTTTCTGATGCATAGTGCAGATATAGGCCCAAGAAGTTTTCTTTCTTACACATTCACGAAAAGCTTTTTCCTGAGAAGGGAGAGCTGTACCTGGGCCCTGTGTAACCTCTTCAGTTCTTCTTGTTTGGCTTGACGACGAGCAGCTTTCTGTACTCGCCTGGTCAGTTTGGCGTTGAGTTCCTCCTCCGTGTAGGCTTTCTGCAATAACAAGAAATAACAACATAGTCTAACCCCTTGCTGAAACTTGTCCCTAGATTCTGGGATTGAAGCATCCTACTTTTCTAGAGCACTGTGCCACTTGCTGTGCTTTCTGTTCAGCAAGCAAGTTGTTCTCCCAGGTGGGTGGGTGCTAAGGGCGCAGCAGGTGAGCTTTGGTGGAGTTCTAAGAGGGGAAGGAAGAGGCTTGAACCAGATGCAAAGCAGTGATTTTGACATAGCGCTTCATGTTATGACTGTTTTCTTCTTAATGCTCCTTATGGCCTGTCACATACACGAGAGATGCTCTTGATTTCATTCATGTTCTTATTACCTATGAATTCCTAGGTATGATTCCTTATGGATCTGTTGAGCAAACATTTAAAGAACTGGGCTAAATATATCTGAACAAAGTATGATGTGTGGCCAAGAGCCTTTTTAAATGCTGTTGCTAAGACTTTACAGGTAGTCCTCAACATGCAACCACAACTGAGCCCAAAATTTATGTTGCTAAGTGAGAAATTTGTTAAGTGGGTTTCGCCCTATTTTACAGCATTTGTTGTAAATCACATTTGTTAAGTGAATCACTGCAGTTGTTAAGTGAATCCAGTTTCCCCACTGACTTTGCTTATCAGAAGGTTGCAAAAAATGATCACATGACCCCAGGATATTACAACTATCATAAATATGAGTCAGTTATCGAGCATCCGAATATAAACCACATGACCATGGGGATTCTGCAATGGTCATAAGTGTGAAAAATGGTCATAAGTCACTTTTTTTAGTGCCGTTGTAACTTCAAATGGTCACTACGCAAATTTTGTAAGTTAAGGACTACTTGTAATCCGCAATTCAATTCACATTTCGAAAACCCTTCGAATGACCCAATGACTCGCACTCTCAACATAATGAGAAGAGATGTATTATGCATTTTGTGATTCACTTGGAAACCACACCACAGGAAAAGGACTGAATTCTCCATCATAATATTAAAAACAAATCAACTTCCAACACAACTTCAACCAAAATACTTGGAAGAAGGTAGGCTAGAAAATGGAGTCCTTGGGGCTCTATGATCTTGGTTGTTTTCTAGCAGATGTTTCATTACCCATACTAGGTAACATCAGGGAGCACCAAGGACCCCTCATTTCAACCCTAAGCTGCAAATATTCTCCTTTATTAGAAAAGTTTTGCCAATCGGGCCAATAGTTGAGGGAAAATTTCATGTCAATAAAGATATAATCACATTAACAAGAGTCCTAAAAGATACACCAGCAGTAGCTGCATTACACCTTAGTTATGTATATATTTATATAAATTGTCCTGTAATGCTATAATTCATCTTTTTTTAAAAATACAAAATCCGGCATCTAAAATATGTCATGTAAGTGATTAATGCACATACTTATTTTCAAGGTAGTTATGTGATGTGTATAATTCCTTTTTAGAGTTTAAAAAATCCTGTGTCTAAGAAAAAGATATCCATGTAATTGTAATATATGCCTTATGATCACCTACTATATCTCCTTTTATATTAAGTCAGCAGATCTTCATTTATATAAGCAGCTAAAGGCTATTTTTTTCAAGTTTCCCACATTTTAACATCATTTTAAAATAATCAATGGAGCTAGATCATTATAGCTGAATCCCTCAACAGATAAGATGAAGGAAGAGTAGTAATACCATTAAAGTCACTGCCAGAGTTCATTAGAGCTGAAAAGATGTCATACAACAAGAAATCTCTTCAGTGTCCCTTTAAGTGAGCCTTCTCCAATTAGGATCAGAAAACACCAGAATTTGGGAAGCTCCAATTGCAATACATTTGGAGTTCGATGAAAGCTGCTTTAAGCCTTCTACTACGTCAGTCTGATAATCAGTTCCATAGTTAAATTAATACCTTAGAAAGAATATATAGCTCATGTAAGTGGCATAAGATAAACAAATTAATGGACTGCTTATTTCATTTTTTCCCCTTCACGACTCAAACCTACAACCATAATTGCTTCTTATGTGCCCATAGGTCAAGATCTATGCCTCTTAAAAGTCTTTCTTACCCACACAAGGACAGAGTGGATACTCATCAATTAAGACACAACATGGTATAATGATTGGGCTACAAGATTAGAATAGAATAACAGAGTTGGAAGGGACCTTGGAGGTCTTCTATTCCAACCCCCTGCTTAGGCAGGAAACCCTACACCACTTCAGACAAATGGTAATCCAAATGGTTAAGATCATGAAGATCTAAAGACAAATCCCTGGTTAACTCTGAACCTATCCTTTTCTCTGTTTAACCTACCAAGAGTTGCTGTGAGAATAAAACAGAGGTAGAATCTATAATATGTGGTAATATTTAGATCAATCCCTCTTTTAGGTACAGGGCGAATATCCAACCCACCAAGGTAAGCACCTTGTAGAGTGCCTCCAAAAACTGCGATTAAGATCAATAGTTTTCCCAGCTGGATCTTCAATGAAGATATTACATACACTTCAAGTGGACTTGATGTTTTGGGACTTGAAGATGATCTGATGTGTTGATATTGTTAATTGCTGCATACATGCACAGCTCAGGTTGTATTAGTATAAATGAAAGCAGGGGAAAGCAGAGGAGATATAGAGGCTATGGAGCTGGTAGGTTAATAACAGGAATGCATGCAACAATGGCCAGTCAATGAGAATGGAGACACTACCTTTGATGCATATGATCCCTTGAATGCCAAGGCATGTGGTATGTAAATCGACTTTAAAAATGGGGAGGGAGGGGAAGGAATAGCAAAGGCAAAAATAAAAGAAATACACAAAATGGAGCAAGATCAGTTCAACATTGTAACACTCAAAACAGAAAGACAATAATAATAAGAAAAAAGCTCCTTCAAATATTACATGAAACTACAGAATACAAATACTTCAGAATTTGGAAATTCACAATGAAAGCATATAGCTTTACAAAAAATAAAATAAAATAATCTTGGGGTCCCAAATTATTAGTTGCATTTGCATTTTCAAAATTTGCACATTTTATGCAAGTGTGCAAAAGGCAATCTCTTCCCTAAGTCCCAGTATTAGATTTTAAGGGCTTAGGAATAGGATATTGAATGTTGGATCTAACACTTTATTTGGGTAAGTAAGTACACAAAACACTGACAGAACTGCACAAAACACAAAATGATTTCCTATTCTGAATGCCTGCCCTTCAATACTTTTGGCAACACAGGGAAGTGAGAAAGGTTAGGTGAGTTTTAGATAAAATTTCTGCATTTAGGAAAAGGCAACATTTTTGAGCAATCTGCAACTACTACATGATTTAAATGTTTCACGACAGCAGCACATACATATATGGATGATAACTGATTCAGGAATACAAGCTGCAGGAAATGATATATTCATTGTTCAGATGCTTTCAACATTATAAATCAGGTCCCACGTCTCCCCCAATGCTAGTCACTAATGCCATTTTAGTCATCACAAACAGGCTGCTGAGCCTTGGTCTAGAAGCCATGTGAGTAACTTTTTCTGCTTAGAAAATTATGCTGACTGTACTTTGTTTCCCTGGCGTGACAATGTTTCCTAGAAACTTGAGAGTTGGAATACAAATTTAGACTCAACTAATTTTATAACCAGGTCCACATTTGCCTTTGTCATTCTCTGTATTTCTTATGTAGCATTCTTAAGAATAGGATTTTAATTCTTATATAGTTCTGCACGTAGTCATAACGGGCATGTTTCCTTTCTAGGCATATTGTTGTGGTGATTTCACACTGTGAAGGATACCTGTATCAGTTTCCTTGTTTATTTTGTTTCTTCATCACTTGGAAAATAATTATTTTTGTAGTTAGGGTTTTCTACTAAGACAAAGATAGGCAATTATGGCCCCTTTACCTGTGGCTGGCTCAAGAACTCTGGGCGTTGAAATCCACAGGCTGTAAAGAGACTATAGTCGCCCAACCCTGTACCAAGATATAAATATACCCAGTCTGCCTTAGACCAAGGCTCTGTGTAAGATTTATGTAATTTCTGGCTCTTCCTTTTTAATATTCAGTGACAGTGCAAGGGATTAGTGACTTGTGACTTTCATATTTCCTTCCAAATCACACACCCTATGATTCAAGGACAGTCCTGTAAAACTACCTTATCAGCTCATCTATTCCTCATTGTTAAAGTTAAAATATCCTATGCTACTTTGTCACTATTATGAAAAAAATATCCCACAAGAAGAGGCGTACAGCAAAAGCTCTTTGACAATTATGTTTAAAGTAGGAGTCAAAAACCTGTTATTACTGACAGCCTGATCCTTTAACGACTCTGAGAAATGCCTCTAAATGTACTCTTACTAAAACACTTAGAGCGGATTAGTTAATCTATGGAAAATTTAACACTTATTGCTAGCAAAAAAAGATTTCCTAACTTCCACTTTCAATTTAAATCTATTTCTAGCACCATTGCTCTTTAGGGATTATGACATCTGAAATATCTCTATGTTATGCAAACTAGGCAGGAAAAGCACAATATTCACTTTGACTGGGTTTTTTTAAGGGGGAAATTCTCTCTGTTACACTTGGGTCCAACCTGCCTTAAGTAGCAAGGTTTAGATTTCAAGATGATTGATTATATTGGAACTCATAAGAAACTACAATCTTTATCCCTTTCCAATATTGCAAGTATATCCTTTAAAAAAAAATTCCCACGTGTAATGTAGAACCTGCCATGGAAAGCTAGAAGGCAAAACATAACAGTGTTATATTAAAAAAAAAATCAAATAAAAAGAGCAATTCAAAAAAAATGGTTACAGAGAAGTTAATCCAGAAGAAAAATCTAGGCATTGAACATGAAAGAAGTTGACCTTTGAACCAGTGACCTTATCTTCACTATCCTTCACCCCACCAGAATTGCCTTAAGCTATCCTGGGTAAAAGCAAGTCTGTTACCAGGCTCAGTACACCAGGGGTGGGATGCTACCGGTTCGGCCCGGTTCTATAGAACCAGTAGCTCTGAAGAGCAACTGACACCAAACTGGTTCACTGCAACAACCGTCTGTTTGTCTGTTTGGCCCACCCACCCGCCTGGACTCCAGACTGTCTTTTATCCTATGCTTTTACCTCCTCGGCTGCTTTGTGCGACAAAACTGAGTGCCGTTCATCAGCTGGAGAAGGTAAGTGCTCGCTGGAGCCGATAGCGTGCAGCACATGTTTGGCGCGCATGCGTGCGCTCCCCAAACCAGTTGTTATGCCGGTAGGATCCCACCCCTGCAGTACACAGGTATATTTGAGTAGCAAAAAGAACTATTTTCAAATAGCTCAGTTTGCAAATAAACCCAACCTGCTATTTCAATCAAGAAGTTTGCAGGATAATTATCTTCCACAATTACAAAAATGGTTAGTTAAAACTTTCTCAATTCCAAGTTGACTATTGGTGACTATAGGAACATTTCCACTAAGTTTTACTAAGCAACAGTATAAATATAATTTGTCATTGCCAAACTTTGCTAAACAATGAGAGTGTATATATGATTATTTGGGGGGGAAAACCTGGCCAACTCCTTTGGTTATTGCATAATTTAGAAAAATAATACTTTTTATACATACTGCCTTTTTGGCAATGTAATTAAACTTCATTTCCACATCTATTAAAATAACTTTTGGAGTAGCTAGCTATCTAAACTCACCTAGAATTCAGAACTGTGCAAGAATCTGAGATTACATATAGTCCTTGATTTATAACCATTTGTTTAATGACTGTTTGAAGTTACAACAGCACTGAAAAGAGTAACTTACAACCAGTTTTGGCAGTTGCAGCATCTCCACAGTCACATGATCAGAATTTGGCCAATTGGCATATATTTATGACAATTGCAGCATCTCGGGGTTTTGTGATCTGACTTTCCAAGCTGGCTTCCAATGAGTGAAATCAGTGGGGATGTCAGGTTCACTTAATGACATGATTCACTTAAAAACTTTTGTGATTTGCTTAACAATTGTGCCAAAAAGAATTGTAAAACTGGCTGTGACTCACTTAATAACTGCCTTGCTTAGTAATAGACATCCTAGTTTCAATTATAGTTGTAATCCGAGGACCACTTCTATTTCCCCAACTTAGTTTCAAACAGACCTATGGTTATGAACAGAAATGAACCTTTTAGATATTAACTTATGAAGTTTGGTCTAATTAATGTTTCTCATTCTTATTGGATCCAAAATCACAGGGAAATATTAAAATGACCCACAAAAGCTTCCCAGCCTTTGGGAAGCTTTTGTGACTCACCTTGCCTTCAAATGACCACAGCAGTATCAACTTACCTCTCGTTTAGATCTCTGTGAGGAACGTTCTAGGACATCTTCATTGGAGAGGTCAGAATCCTCGGAGAAGCTTAAGTGTTGGCGCAGTTGCAAGTCTGAGATAATAAAGAAAGGGGTCAAACGGCAAAACTTAAGGAGCAGTTGCATCATAGTAAAATTGACAATGAACTAAATAATCAGACACATACTTATGCTTGAAAAAGGACCATATCGTCCCTTCCTGCAACAGTGATTCAACTCAGCCTTTTCAAACATTTCAGGTCCCAGTGAATGAAGGGTGCTCTGGAGGCAACGATACCAGAGGTGGCATTCAGCAGGTTCTGACCGGTTCTAGAGAACCAGTAGTAGAAATTTTGAGTAGTTTGGAGAACTAGCAAATACCACCTCTGACTGGCCCCACCCCATCTATTCTCTGCTTCCCGAGTCCCACCTGATCGGCTGGGTCTTCTTTGGTTGTGCTGCACAGGAGAACGGAGCTGGAAAGCAGGTTAGTGGGGGTGGGGAGGGAATGGGGACTTTACAGTAACCTTCCCCCAGGAGTGGGGAGGGAATGGAGATTTTACAGTATCCTTCCTCTGCCACACCCACCAAGCCACGCCCACAGAACTGGTAGTAAAACAAAATTGAATCCTACCACTGAATGATACCCACTTTTCCCGACACAACAACCTAACTTTTTTTTGTCTTTCAGTGAGTCCTGGTATCTCCCAGGCAGTGTACTTGAAACCGGGGGTACATGGTCTGCAGTCAACTACTTCTAAAGAAAACTGAGGTGCCCCTGTCATCACTTCTGCTTATCCCACACAGTCTGAGAAACTCAGCACTTCCAGATTCTGTTGATTTAAACAATGCTTCCTAATCCAAGGATCCACAAAGTTGAGTTTTTCCATCAACACCATTCCCCCGCCCCGCCCTTCCTGGGATTTATATTCATTCCCACCCAATCAGGCCCTAAACTGACCCATTCTCCAGGTCTTGGGTTAGAATGGGTGGTGGAACCCTTCTATGATTTTTTTTTAATGACTGTTGTTTTATCTGGAGCAGAGTTGGGTTTCTTACAGACCAGGATAACTGCCATAAATATGTAAATGCATAGATACGAGAAGACAAAAGTACCAGACAAGAATTAGGCACACAGTATTCAACTTTCCATCAGCTCACTGGTGACACTGGGTGAATCATTCTCCTTCAGTCTAATCTAGCTAAGGTTAGATATAGAACTCCCCAATATCTGGCAGAAATCTAAAGATACCTGATGCCTTTAAAAAAGGACTGTATATTCTTATTGTGATCTCTCATACTTATTCTTCCTTTTTCAGCTACCACTAAAAACATAAAAGGGTTACAGAAAACTGTCAGGCTGGAGCAAATATGAATATGTGCACAATGCCTGGAAGAGTTTCTGGGTGTGGTGAAATCATTATAATAGATAGGCACAGGGGTGTGCTGCTGGGGGTTCGCGAGAGCCCCTAGCTAAGATTCTGTGCAATTGGGAGAGTCCCCAAATCCCACTCCTAGCTGGCCCCACCTGCCCCTCCCTTCCCAAGAATCCCCATGTGGCCCGTTTTGGATGCAGGTAAGTGCGGGGGGCGTGCGAAGGCTCAGGGAGGGTGCAAAATGGGCCTCCCAGAAGTTTGGGAAGGCTGGAAATGGCTCATTTCCAACTTCCAGAGAGCCTCCGGAATCTGGGGAGGCCATTGTTGCCCTCCCGGAGGTTCGACAAAGCCTCCAGAACCCAGGGAGGGCAAAAAGCCCCCCCGCCCGGGCCATGGTGCAGGAGGCCAACTAGTCCACATCCACCATGGCCATGCCCACCCAGCAACCGGGCAGACAACCCATCGCTAAAATTTTTGAAGACCACCCCTGGATAGAACTGATATTATACCTGCTGCCCTAACTAATGGAGATGCCTTATGCTTCCCAGAATCCACTGTGGCCCCACTGGAAGGTGTGCTAGGGCAAGATTTGTCATCTGCCTTTTTCTTCTTGTCTTTCTTGTAACCGGAGAAAACAGACTTCCAAAGGGATTTGGGCTTTGTGGATTCCTCAGCTGCGCTGCTGGATTTGTCAGATTGCTTAGTTTCATTCTTTGACTTCTTCCCCTTTTTGCTCTTCCGGGGAGAGAAGAGAGAAGTCCTTTTTTTATTCTTCCCGCTGGAGCCTTCTGACGATGTGATAGAGCCATCATGACCACCAATGTCCGTTAACGGGGGAAAGAACCTCTCACTGCTAGCTTCATGCTTCAGAGTAGGGCCCTCACTGGTTTTACCAGCCGAATGCTTTGAGGTGTCTAAATTAAATTCTTTGGTCTTTGAAGGTGCTGTCGATGCTTTGCGCGATTTTGCAGCAACAGCACTGCTGGTCATCTCCAGTTCTTTCATCCTGCTGAGCTGCTTAGCCATAGCGTCCCGTAAGGCCTGGCTTTTGATAGACTTCTCCCTGGCCCTCATCCTTTCCTCCGCTAACTCCTTAGCTTCAGCAGAGACCTGAGGAAGGCCTCTCTTTCCTCCTTCAGTGGATGTTGACCTATCATTTTCCTTAGCCACACGCAGTTGAAGAGGCTTCTCAGGCCTTGGCTTGCTAGGTGGAGTGTAGTATTTTTCATTAAGGCTTGTATCCTCTGTTCTGTCTTCGTAAGTGTCCTCTACATCATCAGCAAATGGTATCTCATCCACACTCTCAACAAATGACTTCCTCACCTCCTCTCTAGGTGGTTGAGATGAACTTCTGGTGGGCCAGATCCTTTCACTGGCTGGTGCCACCTGAGGTGTCTGTACGGACTCTGCTTCATTCTGCCACATCGCCTGGTGCCTTTTTCTTCGCAACGTTGCTGGTTCTTCGTTTTGAGGTGGCGGCGGGGGAGGGCTAGATGGAGGGGTGAGCATGGTGGAATCCGATGTGTTGAAACTTTGGCTGGCCAGTGTCCTCATGTTGGATGAACTACCCTGAAGTCCCAGTCCAGAACTGCTGGAGAGATCTCTTTTCACATCCTTTGAGTTTTTCAGCTCTTTCTCTGATTGGGAGGTTGGTGTCAGCAAAGAAAATTGTTCCTTATCCAACTTTGGCATGATTACCTTTGGTGATTTGACAGGATGGATTCCCTTTTCTTCTGACCCCACGTCAGAGTTATATAATTTAAGAGGAGCAGATTCAGGGGGCAAGTAGGTAAAGTTCAGGTCTGACCCCCTGCTTCTGTTGATAGGGGTGAGGCCTAAACTCCTTCGGATTTCAGCACTCTTCATCCAGAATTCCTCCACAAGGTTATTCCTTTTCAAAGCCTCTTCTGTCGTGGTGGGACTTCCCAGTTGTTCCATCTGCCCATCTTTACTTTTTAGAGCAAGTTTGGCCAAAGGAGTAGAAGTAAAAGCCGGGATTGGCTGAAAACACACCGGTGGCTCTGCTGGAGGTGTAATGGAGGCTTCATTGGTGGGTAAAGGCTGTGAACAAATAGGCAGAGGGGCAAGAGGTGGAGAAATTGATTCTATGGGTACTGTTGGTGGAGATTTTACAGGTGATATTGGTGGGATGGCTTCAGGCAGTGCAACTGGCTGTGACCGTATGGGTGAAATTGATGCTGGTGGACTTTGGGCTTTTGCGTCATCAAGGATCTTGTCCTCTTTTTCTTTTTCCGGGAGGAAAGGCTCAGAGAAAAAATGGATATCCGAAGACTTTTCTCTGTGTGGCAACAGTACAGGAGATTCCTACAAACATGATAAAATCAGAGCATAGTTAGTGGCCTAAAGCATCTTTCACTAATTTCTAAAACAGGGGTCTCCAAACGTTGCAACTTTAAGACTTGTAGACTTCAACTCCCAGAATTCCTGGCTTGGTGAGGAATTCTGGGAGTTGAAGTCCACAAGTCTTAAAGTTGGAACTTTTGGAGACCCTCCCTGTTCTAGAATAATAGTTTCCTATTCCTACTTTCTGATAATATTTCCTCATTAATACTGTTACAGAATAATGCCTACAGTTTTGTTGCAGAACTTTAGGGTATTACTACTGGATTCTGAGGAGATAGTCCAGGGTGCACCAAGGCTACTTCTTGCTACACTTGAAGTCAACACTATTATTCAAAATTGTCCCAATTAGTGTACATTACATGGAAAATAAATAGCTGTTGGCCAAGCTATTTTTCAACTATTCCTACTGTTACTGGCCACCTTAGTGACAGACTCTCAACAAATTTTGAAGGAATGTAATAGCATATGTAGTTACAATATAAAAAGTATAGTTCCAAAGAATTCCACACCTGTTCAGACAATCAAAATACAGAAACAAGAATGCAAGTCTGTAAAAATAGAACTAGTATTGAAAACAACTGAGGCCCATTATTTACATTTGGCAGATTTTACATACTACTAGTAGTTTCTGGTGTAAGGGGCATTCTATTACGTCAGAGGTGGGCAACTATGGCCCCTTTATGACTTGTGGACTTCAACTCCCAAAATTCCTGAGCTAGCATGGCTTGCTCAGGAATTCTGGGAGTTGAAGTCCATAATTCATAAATGGACCATAGTTGCCCACCCCTGTATTACGTGGACATATAAACCTTTGCCATTTTGAAACTGAATTTGAAATTATGGGCACTCAGCTAGAAGCAATGTCAGCTAATGTCTACCTATTGCCTCATTGCCTTCTGCTGTTTTTCCTTAGCTGGGTAAAATTATAAAAATGCTCCAAGCTGGTTGAGCCTTCCAGCATTGGCTCCCAAGGAACAGACATTGCAATGTTCTCCTTAACTCTTGAAACTTCCCATTCCAGGGAGGCACATTATATCTCCACAATGAAAAACATCAGCTTCCCATTCAGCCTGGAAAATTAAATAACTCTTTTAACAAATTTTGACTTGATTGAACTACAGTATTATTTGTGTGAAAGAAAGTCACTGTAGTTCTCACCATTTCTTCTTCACCTATAATACGGTTTGTTTTAGACTAAAGATGTAAACTTAATAATCATATCTTAATTGTATATAAATAAGATTACTATGACCTGTACAATTAAAAATCATGGTTTAGGTTTATGGATGACGACAATTCCTTACCTCTTTTTCTTCTTCCTTATGATTACAAATTGGAGAAATAGGACTGGTCATTTCACATGGTGACTGGACGGGAAGACAAGTATTACAGGTATCTGAAGAACCAAAAAAACCGAAGCTTTAACTATCTTAAAACCAAAGTACACGGAATTAAGTGCCTTCTTTCATGCTCCTTTCTAGATAGTAAATTTGCTATGTGATCCAAATTTGATTATCTCTCCCTTCAACACTCCTTGGCATTATACTTTGCACAAGCTCTTCTTATCCATATTATTATGATTATTATGCACATTATTCAGAAGGAAATCTCTGTATATTTTAGCGATTATTGACAAAGAAGAAGGCTTTACATGCGGAACTCTTTCCAAAATGGTATTCTGCTCTGGTAGTAATAGCAGTGTGAATTTCTATGGAGAGTCTCAGTCATCCAGATCATGGTTGTCCTTTATGATTAAACAAATTGTTTTCAAACTAAATAGCAATACACGCTGCTGTCCCAAAGGAGCTTTTTCAAAAGGCAACTGGATTTTGTTTTTTCTTGAAGATGTTTAGCTTCTCATCCAAAAAACCAAAACATCTTCAAGGAAAAACAAAGTCCAGTTGTCTTTTGAAAAAGCTCCTTTGGGACAGCAGCGTGTATTGCTATTTAGTTTGAAAACAATGTGTTCAATCATAAAGGATATTTGTTGAATCCAGTATCTTGTGTCCCACACTTGCCAACTTGATGCTCTTCTGAAGTACAATGGCAGAAATCAATGACTCAGTTGTATATTCTACTTTCCTCCCTTTCATGAGGCCTGAATATCCAAACAGAACCAGCTACCAAGAGTCAAAGGCTAAATATTTGATTACTACATGCAGTTCATAACCATCAAGATACAAGATAAGGATATCCTCATCAGTCTTGAGCTTTCAAGGTTCCCTCAAATCTGATCATGCCAACAGACCTGGGGAACACTAAACTCAAAAGGTGGCTACCTTATTATTGATATCCTTCCGTTCTCTTTTCCAATTTTAGTTCCGCTTTTTTAATTTTAAATTCTTATAAATTATTATTATCTAATGGTTTTATCTAATGTTTGTCTTATTTATTTATTTATTTATTGTTTTTACTGAATTATTATATGGCATCCAGTCACTTTCTGTGAGATGGGTAGTCATATAAACTTGATTAGATAGATAAGAGTCTCTCTCTCTCTCTCTCTCTCTCTCTCTCTCTCTCTCTCTCTCTCTCACACACACACACACACACACACACACACACACACACACACACAGACTCCTTGCTCTTTTTTTTGCTACAAGAGTCAGGCTAAAAATGCATGAGACTATTATGAGGCAGAAATAGTTCTGAAATTATATCCTCCACAGTGACATCTTTATGGTAATTATTGCAAGAATTTCCTGAGTGGCAAATGTTCGCTGGCAAGGGATAACAGATTTATTCGAAAACACAGTTAATGGGAATCTTTCTTTGATTTTTTTTTCTAAATTAAAAAACAGGGAAAACTGCATAATTTGGCTGATAGCTTCTTAGCCAATCCCGTTTTCTCTGCAGTGCTAAAATGTTTAGTACCTTCCGTCATAATGAAAGGGGTGACTGTTTCTGCTTCCTTGAGCTCAGAGATTTTCAGTTCTTCTTTTTCTCCTTCTTTTTCTTTTTCTTCTTGATGGATGCGACACTCTGCCTCTGCATCAGAAGGAATGTCATCTAAACCCCCATCAATGTATCAGGAATTGGAAAACAAAAAAGAATTAAGATTCAAATTTTATACATGTTTATAGTAACTTCATAACAAGGGAAGGGAATGGTGAAACTATGTAGGCTTTTGTCTCCTTCCTTCCTTCCTTCCTTCCTTCCTTCCTTCCTTCCTTCCTTCTCTTTCTCTCTCTGTTTATTTTCCTTCCTTCCTCTCTCCCTCCCTTTCCATACTTGCTACTCAGAGTAAATTATGTACATGCTAAATTACCTAGTTTTGTTAGTTCTAAGTCACACTTTTTATTTTTGAAAAATAGGCTTTCTCTCTGTGTTTCTGAAGCCCTTTACTACATTTTAAGTTAATGTGGCTATTCCACATATGATTAAAAAATGACATGTATAATTATCTTGAAATCTTTCTCTACCGTCTCCAAGTCTCACATCATTAAGCCACTACTTAAATTACTATATCAACTGAGCTCTTTTGTCTGGGGTTGTCAAATTTGCACACAATTGTTTTGCCTCATGTCTTTGCATTTCTGCAGTATTCACTGCCAGCCCTCACATGTAAATCAGACAGGAAATAAGACTAGATGAGCTCATTCTACTTTATAGTAAGGGCACATTAATAGAATCTGGCAAGTCTGAAGGTACAAACTTCCCATCCCTACTTTTAACCATCTAATCAGTGGGGGGCAGTCTTTCCTAAATTTTGTTCTCTGACTCTTAAGCCACTGGGGGCTCCTCCCTCTCTTATCTGATTGTTTTCTAAGCTCTAGAATCGAGGGAGCATCTCTTCCTCTCATCTCCCAATGGCATTCACATGTTCCATTACATCAATCAATAACATACGGTGTGAAGATGTCCTCAGATTCCTACCGTCATCCAACTCTGCCCCAGTGTCTCCATCTTCAATCGCTTCTGCAGGCTCGGTACCCACTTCATCTTCATCATCATTCTCTTCACACAGGGCTACAATAAATTGTTGGTACAAATTTTAAAAAAGAGACAATGGGGTGGAAGAGAAAATAGATTTCTGTTTGAAAGACCACTTAAGACACACTCCCGTAATCCAAATACAACATGTGATGGAGCATTCTGCTAAGAATGTACCACTTGGGATTAAGATTGGTATGTGTGATGGGACAAGATTACCCTGGAATAAAGATTTGCTTTTTTTCCCCAGCACCGAAGAACATTGTTGTGTGCAACATTGATGCATCTGAGCTGAGACAATCAGATATGAGCTACAGCACATGATATTTTTAATCATAAAAACTCAGTGCATAAAAACAAAAACTTCAGGCCATTAGTCAAATACATCTTTTCAAAACAAGTAGAATATGTTTGGTCAATATATGAAATGAATGATGCCCTGAAATGTGAGGCTGACCTTTTAGAATATTCATATTTAAATATTTGTAATATTATACAATTGGACCATGTAACCCTATTGAAGTTTAAACATAATTTGAAATATATTTATATACATATTATAAAATATACATATTAGCTGTAGCTATTCTAAGCAACCATCCAAACTAAGAGTACAGTGATATCTTGGTATTCATCATTAATTGTTCCAGAAAGCACAATGAGCACCAAAAATGATGAGCTCCAAACAAATTTTTCCCCATAAGGAATACTGTAGTGAGTCATAAAGTTGTTGGCAGCACAAGTTCTAGCTTGTATGTTGAGTACCAAACAAATAATGAGCACTGGGATAAAATGTTTGTGTCAAAATGCTTTGGGTATCAAATTCAGTGAGTTTCAAAGTAGCAGAGTACCAAGGTACCACTGTATGTGGAGGTCAAATACAGCATTTTAAAATCAAACATAACTGGTGCTACATATTTAACTGATGTAATATTTTGGAACATCCTTCAGTATAGGAAAGACTAGTCTCTCCTAAGCAACCATGCATATTCCCATGAATCAAAATCAAATTTCAGTGATATGTTAATGGAGGCACAAATTAGCATATATCGGTGCACATCTATTCTTGAGGAAATGTGTTCTATTCATAATTATTTTGCAAATAAATCTTTGCACATATTAAGCAGATAAAGTGCAGGGTGGGGGAAGCTGTCGCACAGAAATTTAAGAGCGATGCACTACTATATCCCAAACTACTGGAAGCAATGTTTTGCTCAGGTTGGCCAGCAGTCAAAACTGGCTAAGAATAAGGCAATATGCAAATTCTGCTGACAGAAGCAGGAAAAAAAAAAGTTTTAGAAATGCACTAGCGCCATCCATGCAAACTCTAAATTGCCAAGTCTCAAGCAATCTCTGTTCTACTATTTAAAATTATAACCAATTCTTTTAAAAGGACTCAGCCTTAACAATAAGATCAAAGGATAAGGCGGTTTAGAAGCAACCTGTTTAATTTAGCTATTTTATATAAATAAAAGACACTCCTTTAACCATGTGTCATCCTACAGTAAATTCATTTTACGAAGAATCTGGTGTATTATGGCAACTATCTAAATAGTGGAATTCCAGGCACACAAGCCTATATCAATTCTGACTTTAATACACTCCAAACTGACTTCAACAATAACTTCTCATTGAAGTTTTTGTCAACTTAAAGTCTATCTAGACAAGCATTCTTCCAGCTCAGTGATCCTCAATGACTTCTCCTTCAAACTATACTTCTTTTCAGAATTGTAGACACATTGTCTACCATTCCTACTTTAAAAAAAAGTTTTGAAACTGGCTAAAGTAATGAAAATAATGGCTGAAGTATAAAGCAAGTGAGAAGATTTTTTCCCCACATTAGGAAGATGTCCTGTAGAAATTGTAATATAATAAGATCACAGATCTTCCCATTATGAATTTTAAAGATGGAACCACTTGAAAGATTATTGGTTGAACTGAGTAGCCACACTTCAGATCACCTGAAACAGTATTTAACTTAAATGTAATTTTAGAAAACTATTGCCAGGGCTTTGCTTAAAATAAAGTCTATGAGAGTTGAGTAAAGAAAGTAATTTATCTCAGGGTGCAATCTTCTACTGGCACCAATAGAAATCTTGTGGTGTTTTTTTTTAAACAAATTATGGGTGTTTAGTCATCAGGACTATATCTAAGAGGACTCAGAGAAACACCTATGTAGAGGCTCTGCCTTGTTTTCACCTTTCAGGCAGTGTTTACACTGAAATAGGTCCTATGTTATATCTAGAAAATCTACTTCTCTTCTCAACTATATCTGCATTTCCAGTATTTTCTGCAAGAAGGGAAGCTGCAGGAATTAGGATGGTGGTCTAATTCATGCAAGAATGGCTCATCTCTTTGAGACATGCAACCCCCTTTTCCCTGCCTCCCCAACTCTGCCATGCAGTAGCAGTAAAGACATTGATAGTTCCTGGGTTAAAAAAAAAAGGCCAGCAAATGGGGCACTGGAAACATGGAGAAGTGGCATTGCCAGCGGTGGCGGGCAGGGTTACTTGTGAGCTATAAACAGAACATCACCAAAACTACCTCCTGGGACTGCATCCAGCCATGCCTGTACTGCCTCGTGGCGGATGGAGGGAAGGTCAGATGCTGAATTAAAATAAAATAAAATTATAATAAATTCCACAGCACACTCAACATGTATTTTGAAATGGAAACATCACAAAAGAAAAAGTCCAGAAGCAGAAAAACAAAACAAAAACAAACCATGGGAAAACAAACTCAGACGGACTCTAAAGTAGGACAAACAGACTCTAAAGTGGGATTGTAAGAAGGGGAAGACTGAAACATGAATTCCTTGATCCTGGTATCTGCTGCCATGGCTTCCACTACCTACCTGAGGCAACTCTGTTGAAAAATTATTACAAGCTGAGATTCACATTTGCTTGAGCTCTGACCTTTCTTGTAGAAATCAAAGATCCTCTAATAAAATAAAAAATATTTAAAAACAGAAATGCTCTGATCAATGGACTCCCTCAATCCCTTCAAGTGGATGTATTTTTCTTCTGATGATTACTCTGCCATAGAGTACGCAACTCTTCGAAGTCCCCAAACTGTCATCTCCCATGTTCTCCTGCCAAATATATCCAGATTTGATAGACTGTTCTATCTATAACAGGGGTGTCAAACTCGATTTCACTGAGGGCCGTATCAGGGTTGTCTTTGACCTTAGGGGACTGGGTGGGGGTGTCTGGGGTGGGGGTGGGCAGCTCGATGTCACTCGTGTCAGGGGCACCTGTCGTGGCCCCGGCAGGGCTGGCGGGATCTATTGTCTCCAGCTCCGTTTCCAACTGCAATGGCCTCCTGCAGCCTTCTGCCAATAAAAACAGAACTCTCTTTTCACTGGCAGAGGCACCGCAGGCCAGTTCTTCGCTGTTTCCAGGGCAGCCCCACAGGCCAGATCTAAGCACCCCTTGGGCCAGATTTGGCCCATGGGCCTTGAGTTTGACACCCCTGTCTTACATTCAGTGAAAAGTGCAGTAAAGGGCAGATGGTGATTTATTTCTATTACATGGTATATGACAAGTGCAGAACTCCCGAGACTAATCAAACGAGCAACCTTGTAAAGTTCATAATACCTCCCGTTTATAATTATTCTTAGTCTTTCTCTGTCTGTCTGAGTCAGTCTCTCTCCCTCCCCCCCCCTCTCTCCCTCCCTCCTCTTTCTCCCACCATCTCTCTCTCTCACACACATACCACACACACACTTATATACCCACCCCTTTCATTTCAAGGAAAGTATAAGAAAGGAAACTTTCTAAAGGATTTGGAAAAAGCTAGTCAATATGCAATTGGAACAAAGAAGTTGCAATTTCAGTGGCTTTGGGAGGGAGAACTTTTTGTCCTTCCTTGCTAAGTATTAATATTTCAAATTTAGGAATAGGAAAAAAAAAGTAAGTCATAAGAAGTACTGTCTTGAACTAGAATGAAGTATGAGTGGCCTCCAGATGCTGCTCAACAACAAATTTTGGTAGCCCAGCTAAGATAACCAACAGGGAAGAATAAGGGCACTTTGCCCAATCCTAGAAAACAGACATCTGAGTGTCTTTGTTTCAGAAAAGTAACAAACTGCAGATTTAATGTAAAAAAATGTTTGGAACACAAAACTAAGATTACCTATCTAACAGAAGCTCTCTAGCAGGGCTGTCAAACTCCTGGCCCGTGGGCCAGATGGGACACGCGCTGGCCACATCCACGCCCGGTTTAGGGAAGGGGAAAAAAGTTCCAATACATCACGTGACACCGCTGTGATGATGTGAGTTTGACACCCTGCTCTGGAGTATGGAAACTTCAAGCATTTGCTAAGCTAAATATAAGTAACAGCTTCTTATCCCAATTCTGTATGAGATCTACTTTGTATGATGCACTCAAGAAGATCAGAGCCAATAAGAAAGAAGAAGGATCTTACCCTACAGTTTGTAGTTTACAGGAAAAATATTTTTATCTAGACTCTCATAACTTTACATCTTGCAAATTGTTCAGACATTAATAATCCAATATTTGAGATGTCCTCTAACGAAACTTTCCCTATCAGCACTTTCCAATTACTGGAAATGCAAGTGCCACCATTCACAAATGGCTACAGATGATGGGAATTGGAATCCAACATGTTCTGTAAATATAGAATGGAGATAACTGTCCTTTACATTTCTTTTCTAAAAAATCTCCATGAAGAAAGTAATTGAAACAACATTTGTCTTTGACAAATAACATCTTCAACATCTTACTGAAAGATCAACTTTCAAAAAACAATTTCATTCTTCACCATCTTGTTCTCTGCCCATTTAGTGAACGACCTGTTTTTCAGACAATCGGTTGTCATCATTCTTAAGAGACCTTATGCTATTTTATTACTTCGTTTTATTTAAAATATTCTTATCTTTCTGCCACCCCTTTAGACGAGTGCCCATAGTCCTCTCAAATTCTCTTAGCTATTTGCTCCTTATCAATCTTGCCCTTTTTTACTCTTCTGTTCTGAAACTACCCAGTCATCAAATTGACCCTTGCTGGATTGAAATTCTTGGAGATGGAAAACATCTGGGATCCACCAGGCTGAAGGAGGCTATCCTTCATTAAGCCAGCCTAAAGAACTGTATAGACTCGATTTCTCTCTTGCATTAGGCTACACCAGGAGTGTTAAATTCGATTTCATTGAGGGCCGCATCAGGATTGTATTTGACCTCAGAGGGCTGGGGTGGGCATGACCAGCTTGATGTCATTTGTGTCGGGGTGCCTGTGGTGGCCCAAATATTCTGCTAGCAAAAATGGGCCCCCAAGCTCAATTTTCGGCTGTGATAGCCTCCTATATTCCTCTACCAGTGAAAATGGAGCTCTGGGAGGCCTTTTGCGGCCCTTCTGAGTTCTGTTTTCACTGGCAGAGGCACTGCGCGCCGGTCCCGTGGGCCAGATGTAAGTACCCTAGAAGCTGCATTCGGTCCGCGGGCCTTGAGTTTGACACCCCTGGGCTACTAATCTAGCTAATTCTGCCTGTTTTAGGGTGTCATGGGTACTTAAAGCTTAAAAGAGATACGTCCTACTATAGTGTTCATAGTACATACCAGCAAATCCCTCTTCCACTATAAATAAATGTTCATACCATAGACACAAGACGTATTCCATTCTATTACAAACATGAAAGCTCAAAAAGCAACATGAGGATGGTCTCAGAATTGGTCATTCTGCATTAAATGGGAATCAAATGCCCTTATGATATGTCAATGCAGTGGGACATGGTTACCTCTTGAGGTGGAGGACTTAGAAGTGAGGCCCACTTTTTCCTCCTCCTCCTTCTGACGGATGTGTGTCCAATGCACATCAGCCAAGATTTCCAGGGGATCAATTGGATTTACTATCTGCTGCAGCCTCAGGTTTCCAGCTAGCAGACAAAACACCAGTGGTGGATCATGTAGAAGGCACAGGTAAAGGAAAACAGAGAGGAAAGGGAGTACAGGAGTACAGGAAAGACAGGGAAAGAAAAAAAAGTTATTTGAAGTAGATTGAAAGAGAAAATAGATAAAGATCAGCACTGGGCATGCAGATGTTTCCTTCCACATTGCAGTTTATATATTCAATTCACTGCAAAATACAATAATCCTTCAGTGATGCATCCAATACTTGAAGATTCACCAGGGTTAAGACTATTAAAAAAGCATCTAATTCCAACATGTATATTTTGTCACTCTTCTTTAACTGCTAATAAAGCTATCACGTTCACCAGTATGGTTTAGAACAGACTGTTTTCTTCTTCTCTTTTACTGAGCAGCATTTAAAACAATAACTGCCCAATATATGCAACTTAAATCATAGAATAGTCAAGAAGAAACTAAAAATAGAGGCAGAACGTTAAATAAATTTGGTACTTTTTCTTTAATTCATACCCAATCATACTTTGCTTCCAAGAAGAATGATGTATCTATAAAACCATCCTGTGGAATTTTGAAGAACATCATGCACTCAAGTTCTCTTGTTGAATTATGGCAACTCATGCCACCAACTGTCCTTTTCCATCATAAATCCTTGGGTAAGTATTGTTAGTGTTAGAACACACGGCTGGGGAGTTAACAAGATGAGTTTAATTTGCAAGATTAAAAAATGTCTGGGAATTCATACATAGAACCATAGCAAGGCTCTCAAAGAGCAGGCCTCATTAATGATCGGAACTAAAGTGTGTTATTCTGATAGTATCCAACAAAACTCACTATTTCCAATTTTTTTTAAGCCCTTAAGGATGATTTGTCTCCTCTGAAGCTCTTGACTTACTGGTAAACTTTAATAAAGTTGAATTCCTGAAAATCTAGTATAAAGAAAAGGGGTTTGCTGATTGAATGCTGGTCATCTGATCGCTGATGAATTCTGATGTTCCAGCTGGCACTTTTAAAAAATCATTTTCTCTGAAAAAGAGACCTTGAAAGCAAGAATAAAATGTGGATCTGGCTTATTCTATAACAGAAAGAAACCTTGTTCAAATGTCCCAATAAACAAAATGTAGAGTAGTCTGTTATTGTTATCCACAATTGCTGGCAAGATTTGTGTGAGAGTAAAACAGCACACACTCCTATTCTGCTTGTTCTTCAGAAAGATATAATTCTTCAAAATTCTACTTATTACAATATATAGCCATAGTGACTGCTATTGTACCCTGTTCTCTATTTATATATAATCATTTTTGCAGCTGAATTTCAGACACTAGAAGTAAACAGCTTTGATCAAATTATAATAAATGTTAAAACATGTAAAAGTATTATATATTAAGCCAAATATATAGTTGGAACTTCCAACTTTTCAAACCAAGTCTTCAAAAACTGGGAAAAAATACTTTTTTCTGGTTAATAAAAAGAGAGGATAGTTTGGATTCTTTCTGACAAAGTTATCATGTAACAAAAATGTCAAGCTATGACATAAATGAATAAAAAATCTGGCACAGTGAAAAACACAAGATCGCAATGCTGCTTGTCTTTGAATGCTGCTTAGAGTTTGACTCATTTCCAGATAAGCAGCACAAAAAAGACAGTATATGAGTGTGCTGCAACAGACACATATTTGGCCATGGAATCTAGAAATGCCTGAGCTTTAACCTAGTGTTACTCTATTTATCTTATGAAAGAGGCAGAAAAAAAGCAAATGTTATATTTGCTCCTAATAATATAATGGTTAAAATGTTCAATAAGAATTAAAGAGAGCCAGTCCCCATTTGACTATGGTGATCAGGGATTGAATTGAGTAATCTCTATGTCTTATTTCACAGTTATTGTGATGAAAAACGAAGGTAAACCATATGGTAAATTACCATGTTAATGTCTTAAAGCAGTTTTTCTATCCTTAGCTATTTTAAAATACGGAGACTTCCACTCCCAGAATTCCCAAACTAGCATGGGTGGCTGTGGAATTAGCTGTGGAATTCTGGGAGTTGAAGTTCACATAATGTAAAATTGCTAAGCTGAGAAACACTGATCTTGAGGAAAAAACGGATATAGGTATGCTTTTATTTAGAATGTAATTTTGTTGAATACAGCAGTTTCTAAATATGCTGTACAACATGAGACCTGCTCTTTGTAATAAAGGAGCTTCCCCTTTTTCCTCAAGGGATGCGGTGACTGTGCAAGGGTACCTTTAAAAGTACCCATGTCCTCTTCATTTGATAGTCGTTGAAGCCAGAGGCCTTGCTGAAGTTCTCGCTCCCAAGGGTAATACTCTCCCTCTACAGCAGGGGGAGGAAGACACCAACAAATAGCATTGTCAGAGGGAAAGAAAGGACAGAGAAGGAGAAGGAACACAGGTGAAAGCTGAGAAAACCCACAGAGGCCTTAAGTTGCTTCACCTTTCTAAGTAGTCTTACACATGTTCAATTGCGCGTAAGAATCCGAGCATGCTAAATATGTACACATACATGTGTAATAGATACACATCAATCCCACAATGCACAGAAGCTACAAAATTGGAAAATGTGTATATATTCCAAAAATTGTGTGTGGATTTACAAGCAATTTTCCTGCACCTAGGCCAGTGGTGGCTAACCTTTTTGGGCTCCTGTGCCAAAAATTGTGCTCGTGCTTGCAACGCTCGTGCTCGCGTGCCAGCACCCAGAAGGCAATGTGTGTCCCTCTCCCCACGCCTCCTACACATGTGCGTGTAATCCTACCCCCCCATCCCGCCCGCCGCTCCCTTACCTGCACTGTGCCTCACAGCTGATTTTCCGCAGGTTTAAGGCCTTTTTCAGCCTTCCAAAGGCTTGAGGAAGGCTTCTTCAGGCTTCTACAAATTTTGTAGGCCAAAATCTAACCCGGTTTTGTCACTTCCACTAATCCTAACCCTAGATTTCAGCCTACAAAGCTTGTAAGAAGCCTGAAGAAGCCTTCCTCAAAGCCTCTGAGAGGCCGAAAAAGACCTCAAACCGGCCAAAAATCAGCTGTGAGGCGCGCACATGAGCAGTGAGTTAATTTTGCCTACAGCTCGCGTGCTGGCACAAATAGCTCTGCATGCCATAGGTTCGCCATCACAGACCTAGGCCAAGGGTCTTCAAACTTGGCAAGTTTAAGACTTGTGGACTTCAACTCCCAGAATTCCTGAGCTAACATGACTGGAGGAAGAATTCTGGGAGTTGAAGTCCACAAGTCTTAAACTTGCCAAGTCTGAAGATCCTTGGCCTAGGCTCTTATTGGCTAAAATTCCCTTCTTGTGTTTCATTATTAAAGGAGTTGATCCACGCAGAACTCAAGAGAGTGATCCAATGCTCTGAGAGACCACACTTATTTTAAAATAGGAACTAATTGTTTAAAAAAGATCAGTTCCAAAAGTAACAAAGTTGGTAGTTTTGTCAGTTATGATTCAATTTTGTCTTTCTCCATTTTTTCATGTAAAAATCAGAGATCCTGGGCGCCTACTCACCTTCCAACCTACACATTCTACATGTTTATGATTTTCTACTAGCTGCTAGAATAAATAGTGACTTACAGGTTTTTGACAATAATTGACTCATAGCTTTTAGAGGGTTTTTTTAGACAGTTGTGAATCTAGCCCATTGTGTTCATTGAATGTATACCAATTGCAGGGTCACAATCCCATCCTCATCCCCATGAATGAGAAATGGCTGTTTGTCATATACAGATTCCCTCATTTAATATTCCACCTCATTTCTCTGCTAGACATTGTTAATGTTTAGTTTTTTAAAATAAACAAAAGGAAAAGTTCCTGAAGCTGGAGAAAGGATAACATTAGTATCCTTCCTCACAGTCTTTACTACTTGCAGGTTATTCCTTGACTGAAGACCACAATTGGGGCGAGAATTCCATTATTAAGCAAAGTTGTTAAGTGAATTGTCCTTGATTTTACAACCTTCTTTGCCACATTTGTGAAATAGCAATAGCACTTAGACTTATATACCGCTTCACAATGCTTTACTGTCCTCTCTAAGTGGTTTGCAGAATCAGCCTATTTCCTCAACAATCTGGCTCCTCATTTTTTCCACCTCGGAAGGATGGAAGGCTGAGTCAACCTTGAGCCTGGTGATCTGCCAAATTGCAGGCAGACAGCTGTCAGCAGAGGTAGCCTGCGGTACAGCACTCTAACCATTGCACCACCACGGATCTCTGCAGTTGTTATATGAATCACGTGGTCATTAAATGAATCTAGTTTCACCAACTGACTGCTTTTCAGAAGCTGGCTCGCAAATAATGACCACATGATCCCCGGATGCTTGCAGCTGTTTCCAAACTGTTTATAGCTTCTAGTAACAACTTTGCAAATTTCAGATAGAGGTTTTTCTCAGCCTTCCCCACAAGTGAAAGAAGTGGAGTACTGAATTTCGTAGATAATGAATACGCTTTACAACAATGATATAACTGTTTCCTAAAATGTCTGCTGTGGAGGTTGGTTTCCTGGCTCCTAATACTGTGGTTCTGTCTTCATCTTGAGTGCAAACGAATTCATTCGTAGCTTTTTCTTTTGGCAAACCCAAATAGTACAACCGAGTGTTGTGTTTAAGATATTAACATTAAATAAAGGCAATGAAAGAGGGATAAGACAAAATACAATGAGAAAAACAGCCATCAATTTGGATTCTATTAGTTCCTCAAAGGATTTCTTTCTAACTTCCTAGAATTTTTTTATGTATCAAACTCAATCAGATTTACTGCTATGTATTAATATGTAAGTTTTCCAGAGAAAAAGAGGAATACATACACACACACATATGTATTCATCAGCACACAAATTTATACCTAGACGGGGAAAAAAACTATTACTAACCTTCGCTAGAGATTTCTTCCTCCTCTTCCTCCTCCTCTTCTTCTTCTTCTGGCTCCTCCTCCTCTTCTTCCACCTCCTCCTGTTCTTCATTATCATGGTTTTTCTCAATTTCCAGCTCCTCCTCACTCTTCCCTTTCAGCATGGCATGTATTCGCACAGCCTCTTTCCACGGCACGCCACCAAGATCGGAGGTCGGTTGCTTAGGCTGCTCTGCTGCCTCCTCCTCCTCCTCCTCCTCCTCTTCCTCCTCCTCTATCTCCGATTCTGAACTACTGTTGAGAAAACAAGCAAGAGGCATCTTGAAAGGCTTTCAGCTAATGTTTTTCAATCAATACAGCCAAAGGAAACTATCATCTATCAGTTCAGAATCAGGAGTGGGATTCTACTGGTTTGCCCCGGTTCGGCCGAACTGGTAGCTCCAAAGATCATCTGGGAGCGAACCGGTTTGGTCCAGCAATCTGCTGTAGGGTCCACCTTTATTTCCTGCTTTTGAAATGCAGCAGATTGCCACGTGCCAGCTGTTGCAGACACAGGGAGAATGCAGGATTGCAGGAGACGTCAGTAGGAAGGCCTCTGCACGTGTGCAAAGCACGTGATTGGCATGCACGCAAAGCGCACCCCCAAGCCACCCCCACCGAACTGATGGTAACACATTTTGAATCCCACCACTGTTCAGAATACCTAACCATTTAGCCCGATATCGTACAGGCCAGGGGTGTCAAACTTGCAGCCTGCAACCCAGATGGGTCGCACGCTGGCCATGTCCATCCCCGGTTTAGTGAAGGGGAAAAAAAGTCACGATACATCACACGACGACATGACGACGCAAGTTTGACACGCCTGGTATAGATAGTCCTTGACTTGCAACTATTCAAAGTTACAATGGCACTGAAAAAAATGACTCATGGTCTTCATATTTATGACCATCACAGCAACCCCACAATCACATGATCATCATTTGGGGCGCAGGGCAACTGGCATGCATTTACAACAGTTGTAATGTTCTGAGGTCATATGATCACCATTTGCAACCTTCCCAAACAGCTTCCGACAACGAAGTCCAATGTGGGGGGAAGGAGTTGGATTTGCTTAACTATCACTTGATTCCGTTATCAATTGTAGAAAACATAAGATTGGGCATAACTTACTTAACTATGTTGCTTAGCAATGGAAATTCTGATTCCAGTTGTGGTCATAAATTAGGACTACCTGTACATCTAGCCAGCAATAGCTTTTTGCCATATCAGATACAAATCTCATATATTTATGTATTACATTCATTCATTTCAATTAAAGATTTCTGGGATAAAAGAGGAGATCACACAAATATGCACTTAGTGCTAAGTTGTGGTTTTTCCATGATTTTGAATTTTCAAAAGACGAGCCGCTGTATCTGAGATCATATAATCTATTATATAGTCTATTGAAATTTTCTATTCAAATTTCCCCCCGCTTCTTTTAATGGGGTAGGAGACACTGGGAATGAATGAGTTTCTATCTTCATCAACAACCTGAAATATAAGTTCTTGGATATTCTATGGCATAAAGGCAAAACTGAATCTAGAACTTTATTTAGAGAAGCTGATTTGCTAAGAATAGGGGTATAACAACCATACCCCTATCTGAAGAGCATGTACTTCAATATCCTTCAACAGCAGCCAGCATGCCCAATGGGCAGAGACTATGAGAGCAAATGTCAAACCATCAGAAGGAATATTACTTATTCCTGACTTTAAGTCCTTCAGATGTTTTATGATAGTTTCATTCACTACCATCACAGAAAAAAGTTGTCCCTACCATTTTTTTTACCTATGGAAATTTTTGTAATCTGTTGTATGAGTGGAGAGAGCTTGAGAATTGCATTTTCAAGTTTTCTCTCTCCATAGTTAATAGTCTAAGTCACTTAAATGTCTGTATCTCATTTATTCAACCCATGCTTTATTAATATATTTTAAATAATGGCCCTTATGGGGGGGGGAACAATCACCAAACTTAGAGAATCATTCATTCTATCCTCTACTTCTATCTTCCTCAAATAGTATGTGTGCAAATAGATTCTTTTTTTTTAAAAAAGCAAGGTTGCTAAGTAAAATTATGGGCAAACTTAACAAATGTAAATCATCTGGGAATTTTATCTAGAGTATGAAAGAAATATGCAGTTTTTTTCAACTTCAAAGAATGTATTTTCCTCCCTCCCAATCCCTGCAATACAAAAACATTATTTTATTTTAGTATATTACTTCGTCAGATAAGAAACCGTCATGAAAGAATGTTAGCTTTATTTTCTTCGAAAGACAAAAGAATTTGCTGTTACTTGAAAATGGAGTATATAGAGTATACAGCAAGTACTCTAGCTGGAACCTATGGAGTCCTTCAATTGTTTCTCTACATTTTTAATACTTGCCTGTAGAGGTTTTCAAGAAATGATTGGACAGTCATTTGTCCAGGATCGGTATAAGGACTCCTTCCTTAGGCAGGGGCTTCAATTAGAAGACCTCCAAGGTTCCTTCTAGCCTTATGATTCTATGATTTAAGATGGTTGAGTGAATCTCCAGGCGATAGAGTTCTGATGAAACCATGTACTAGAAACAAGGGTGCCAATGCAATGTTTGAATAGTTTTGGTACTTCTTTTAGAGCAGGGGTGTCCAGGGAGTATAGCTGGCTGGGGAATTCTGGAAGTTGAAGTCTACAAGTCTTAAAGGTGCCAAACTTGGATGCCCCTATTTTAAAGTAAAGTGTTAATATCTGAAGGCATTTTTGTGTTTGCAGAAGAAGGCTTACAAACCTTTTCTGAAAAACAAAAAGGTTGGAAAATTGCAAGCTTTATAATTTGGCTGTTGCCATTTTTGAATTTAGAGGCTGAACCCAGGATGTAGCATCTTGGTTGACCTCTTATTTGGACAGTGTTTAGGTTCATTTCATTTAAGTGCCCCCAAATCTTAAATCCGAAGAAGCACGCAAATCATTTTTGGTCTTACTAAGTTTTATAGGATAAAGAGTAAAAAAAATAGCAGTAAATGCTATTTAGGGCAAAATGTGTTCAGTGCTAAAAATAGTTGAGATCACCAACTAGAAGACAAAAGCTTTATAAGATTTGGAGGGAAACCAGAGTATAATAGTGACCTTATAATAGATCTCAAAACCCGTCTTTCTTTTCAGTCTGTGGTGTCACAATATATTAATAGACATTTTGCTAGTTAATTTGAAGAAGTATATTTCAACATAGTCTGTAAAAACCTAACTACAGAAGTTTTAAAAGATGCCCAAATCAAATAACCTGCTGGGTACATCCTCTTCCGTTCCTTTGTCTAGCACGCTGCTGAGGTTGTGCTCTGCCAATGTCTCCTCTGGCACTTCTTCCAAGTCTTCTTCCCGTTGTACCGAGAGCCGATAGTTCTCCAATTCAATCCGTTCTGGTGTACCACGCAGTCTCTTAGCAAGACTGGGTTCCTCTACGCCATTTATGTTGGAAGCTGGAGAAGAATTAAGAAACAAACAACCAAAAGATATTATGAGCCCTGATCCCAATCATGCAGGCAAATCTGGAACAATTGCCTTTGTAACAGTCCCACCAGGATGCTAAACTGTTGACTTCCAACCAGGATCTGACTACAGGAGACTCATAGTAGTCTTTCAAAGCAAAGTTGCAAAGGGGGGGGATATGTTTTGGAGAAAACAACAATTTACTTTTTCTTACAATGTAAAAAAACACAAAAAAGTTGTCTTTTTCTCCTTTTGGGCCAAATGGCATGCTGTGTTACTCCTTCAGTACTCTCTTTTCAACCTGGTGTCCTTCAGATATCTTAGACTCCTCTCATTACTAGCTGGGGACTTTAAGAACAAAGTTGAAACATATCTGGTGTAGTTTAAGTAGAACACTCTGATCCATGAATTGCTACACCTGAGGAAGTTTTGGTGCTGGGGTGGCACACGCTAGCCATTCTGAAGGAGGAACAGCAGCAGCAGTGGCTCAGGATGGCCTCTTGGGAGTGGAGCAATGCCAGAAGACTGTATTAGTTGTAGTGCTATCAGATCCAGGCTGCAAATATCATGAGAGCATATTGGAAGTTCTAACCATCACACACACCTCCTGCAGTCACAGGACTGAACTTTGGGTACTTGGCAACTGGGCCACATTTACAGCCATTTGCAGTGTCCCACAGTCATGTGATCTCCAGCTGCTCAGTGTCTCCTACATGAAACAAACTACCAGACAGAATAAGGCAGGATGGTTGACTATTCAGTCAAGTGACCAAACGAAACAATTTCAGTTCCAGATAAGCAACTGGAAGAATAGCACACTTATATGGGGACATCAATTAAGTGGTTCTGAAAACGAACAAAGGACAGCCCTGTAGGGAAAAAAAGCATCCATCATACAGTTAACATCAAGCCAATGCTGTTTCACAGAGGTGGACAATTCCTTCATTCCTGTGGATGAAGCTTCAGAAGCTGCAGTGGAACTGGTGAAAAGACCCTGAGCATCCTCTGGAAAAGCTAAAGCTATTAACGCAAAAAGTGAGCTAGTTCAACTCAATGATCAAGTACAAAAAGTATCATGCTTAGACAGAGAGGTCATTGCATGGATTAAAATGACAAGGAAGAACATTTACACATTATTCCTAGCTGAAAATCAGTGCCAAAATATATCAGACACAAAGACAGTGTAAAATGGGGTTGTTGTTTTTAACTAGGATTATGGGAAAAAAAACATCAGGCCACTAAAACCTGTGACATCTGAGAAGTAGAGAAAATTTAAAGAAACAATGCCCTTATCACAGACAATAATCTGACACTGTTTACTTGTATGGCAGGCAGAGACACAGTGAGAAGATATAAGACGCAGAAGATCCTTGGCACAAAATTTTTTGGATGATAACTGAGCAAGAATAATGGAAAGTCTCCAAGAAGGGGCCCATTTAGTAAGTGGTTGGAAATAAGCTATGAAAGCTAAAACAAAATTGTTTAAACTACAAATAAATGAAAATTGATGAAATACTAGTAGTATTTATATAGTAGAATGAAACACTGAATTGCTGCACAAATAAATCCTAAAAGCTTAATAGGGTCTCCATTTAACACTTAACAGGAAACCAAAAGGCATCTCTGCTGGCAAAGAACAAGGACTAATCTGTTTCTATCAAGTAGAAAGGCAATATCTATTCCATTTTGCATTAGCACAAAGTAGAAAGTTTCCTTCAGGTTTTAAAGATACTTTAAAGCAGTTTCACAACCTTTCCAACTTTGTGGTCTGTTTTTTTTTTTGGGGGGGGGGGAAGAGGGGATGATTCTGTGCGAGTGAACGGCACATGCAGGCATAGCTCCATCTGTGCGAGAGGCCAGCACATACACACACACCGCAGCTTGAGCAAATGGAATGGGTATGCTTGTCCGCTGCTCATGCAAATAGGGATGTGCATGAGTGCACTTGCCCGCCGCTTCCACGACCAGGATCCGAACGGCTCATGGGCCAGTAGTGGGCCGTGGCCTGGGGGTTGGGAATCCCTGCTGTAAAGAATGCAAGATTTGGAGAACATCCACTAGATCAGGGGTGTCAAACTTGATTTCATTGAAGGCTGCATCAGGGTTGTGTTTGACCTCGAGGGGGATGGTCGGGAGGACGTGCCAGCTTGACGTCACTCGTGCCAGGGTGCCTGTAGTAGCCCGAGTGCTTTGCTGGCGAAAATAGGCTCCCGAACTCTGTTCTCGGCTATGATGGCCTCCTGCAACCCTCTGCCAGGGAAAACAGCTTGGGAGGGCCACACGAAACCCTCCCAAACTCCGTTTTCCCTGGGAGAGGCACCGTAGGCCAGTCCTTTACTGTTTCTAGGGCAGCCCCATGGACCAGATCTAAACACCCTGAGGGCCAGATACAGCCTGAGGACCTTGAGTTTGACACCCCTAATCTAGCCAATTAGGCAAGGACTCGTGACCTGTAGTAGGACTTTAGCATTTTCAACCTTTCTTAAAATCAGCAGGAATTCCATCTCAGGCTTATATGGAAGGACCTGAAAGAGAAATTGGCTAAAGAGCTTCAAAGCTGATCTTGAAGGGCTGTGGCTGGAAGCTACTGAAGAACTGTGAGCTACAAATGATAGTGCACTTTTTTTTAAGAAAGAGGAAAGAGATATATGCTCAAGTCACAACATGCAAAGAATGCTCCTCATAGGGTCACCAAAATGGCCGAGACAGAGAGGAACTGAAACAGTTTTGTCAGATTACTCTTCCATAGAGAGTTGAAGGAAGAGAGCTGTCACCTTTTAGAACAGGGGTCTTCAAAGTTGACAGCTTTAAGACTTGTGGACTTCAACTCCCAGAATTCCTCCTCCAGTCATGTTAGCTGAGGAATTCTGGGAGTTGAAGTCCACAAGTCTTAAACTTGCCAAGTTTGAAGACTCTTGTTTTAGATCGGGGTAGTCAACCTTTTTATACCTACCGCCCACTTTTGTATCTCTGTTAGTAGTAAAATTTTCTAACTGCCCACCGGTTCCACAGTAATGGTGAGTTAAAAAGTAGGGGACAAATCCCTACCGCCCACCATGAAAGCTGGAACGCCCATTAGTGGGCAGTAGGGACCAGGTTGACTACCACTGTTTTAGATCAGTCATAAAAAGTTTCACAATGAACATCTGCATGAATGCAAACCCATTAGTGTGATACAGAGAGAAAATAAAATAAAAAATAATAAGGGGTTCTCAGATAGCAGCCTTTGCTCCAACTGCTACTGAATAGTGTTAGATACTGGGTGGAATGGGAAGGGAAGGTACTAGATTACTGTTTTTACTAGATAATTACTGTGTCCAGAATTAGAACAGCATTTTGCTCAGTCTTTTTAATTCTCAGCTGTTAATATACCCAGACATACTACAAATCAAACCAGACCAAAAACAACCAGACATCCAACATATAGAATATCCTTTCTCTTTGTATTTGTACCATGTGTCTATTTATCTATTGATCATAAACTTAAAATATGCAATTTATCAGGCAATTGGTTCCTGATAATCTGTATCATTAATAATCCTTTGTCTTGTGACAAATACAAGCTATTAGATATTAAATCTTACTAATATTCCAATTCAGCATGAAGTGCCACTGTCTAATGCAGTGTTTTATATTTTAAATTATAACCACACATTCCAGCTATATTATCTTCCTTTTATCATTATCTCTAATCAGTGTCAAATGTAATTGCTTGAATCTGGGCCACTGACAAATAAAATGATCAGGCACTTGGATCTGAAGTACATTGGAACTTCTACCTGCTATTAGCCAGAATAATTAAAAGATGTCATGAACACGTTGTAATTTTGAGCACTTTTCAGCAAAATAAGTGTGTATGTATATAACTAAAGTTGAATAGGTAAGTATAGTTGGCAGAGGCATCCATAAAACATTTCTAAATTCCGTACATATCAACAAAACCTTAGAGCCCAAGCCCAACTAAGGGAAAAAATGGCCAACAGCAACTAAAGTACAGTTAGTGTGCGTGTGGAACAACAGGAATATTTTGCATAGATTGTTGTTATCTTGCTCCCTCTGCACATCAGGCAAGAATTTGTAGTCTATTGCTTTAAATTCTGCATTTGCTTGATAAGCCTGGTGGAAGACTGGAAAGAGTGACGACAAGTTTCCAAGGAAGTTCAATGCTGGTATATTACTCACTTTCAAAATTGCCCAATTGCCTAATTAATTCTCAGGTCTTCAATGTACCCACAGAACTCTCGTATTCTGCTTTCCAATTTTATCACAGCATGCGTTTTGTGAGTAAGTAAGCCTCCTAACTATAGTAGCCAATGTAAAAGTAATGAATAGATGTTACTTGGTTTAGCATTAGCAGCTACTATATATACTATGTACAGCATCAGGGAATCTTGGAACTGTATTGAATTACAAACTGAATATAAGATAACACGGTGAAGCAAAAAAAAAAGGACATGCCATTTTAGACTGTATCAACAGAAGGAAGTTTTTAAATCACAGGAAGTCATGAATCCATTTCATTTTGGTCTTGATGGGACCCCATCTTGAGTTCCTCTGTTTAGTACAGTGTACAGATCTACCTAAGGAATCAATGAATCAAGAAATGAATTGATGGGTTAAGAAAAGAACAATAGAATTAGAAACTAAGACCTATGAGAAGATTGAAGGAATTAGCACTGCTAGTCTTGGGAAGAAGAAAAATGAGAGAGGTATTATAACCTTCTCAAAATACTATACCTATAAGAAGGTAACGCCTATTTTCTATCATAGCAAAAATTTACAGGAAGATGGATTCCAGTTAAATGTTATAAGAAACTTCCTGATGTAAGAGTAGTTCAACTATTGTAATGACATGTGGGACTGACCTTGGGAGACAGGGAAAGAGCTACAGTCAGAAAAAAGGTCAAATAAGAGAGAGCTTGGGTCAGAAGGAGTGTGGGCCTGAGGGACCCTCTCTAGTTTCTTGGGCTGTATAGGTGATGGAGAAGGA